GAAGCGTGGAAGCGGCTCGAGACCATCCACGTGAACAAGACTCTCCACGGCAAGATCCTAGCCCGGAATGCGTTCTACACGGTGAAGATGCGCGCGGGCGAATCGATGCACGAGTTTGCGACTCGTGTGGAGGAACTCGGGGAAACGTTCATGGACCTCGGTGGAACGGTCACGGAGGAGGATTGGATTCTCACCTTGCTTTGCGGCCTTCCGGAAGAGTGGTCGACGGTGATTACGACACTCGATAGCGTGCAAGACACTTGGACGAAGGAAATGGTGGTTGGTCGGCTTCTCCATGAAGAATCGCGTCGCCGACAATTCGCTAATGAGAGCGAGGGTGCCGCCATGTACTCCGGAGGGAGTTCCGGAAAGAAGTCCAAGTGGAGCAAGGACGCAACGAAGGAATCGTCCGGTGGGAGCGAGCATCGCGGCAAGTGTCACTATTGCCGCAAACCGGGACACTTTTGGCGTGAGTGTCGAAAGCGGCCGAGCGATTGGACTCCATCGATGGCGCGGGACCAAGAGGGCAACGCGCACACGGCATCCGGCGAGGCCGATGATTCAAAGGAGTCGCTCGTGTTAGTGGCCGGCAACGGGAACAAAACTCCAAGCGACGCGTGGTTCCTCGATACCGGCGCAACGCAACACATGACGCACTCGGCGTCGCTCCTCAACAACATTGGCGCTCCGGGAGACGTCACGAGCATCGTGTTCGGAAACAACGAATCGCTACCGGTGGTCGGAGTTGGGAGTACGCGCCTCATCGTCGATAGCGGTCCGGTGGACGTGACGAACGTGTTTCACGTCCCGGGGGTGAAGGTGAACCTTCTATCCGTCCCGCAACTTGCGAAGAAGGGAGTGATCGCCACGATCGACGGCGCGAACATGAACCTTTTTTGGAAGGGGAAGCAATTCGCACAAGGCGTTCTCAACGGAGAACTCTACCAACTCAAGACGCACCCGGGAGCGGCTTCATCCAACGTGGCGCAAGGTTCCAAGGCGACTCTCAAGGCGTGGCATAATCGACTTGCGCACGCCAACTACGACTCAGTCAAGGAGTTAGCCAACAAAGGACTCGCGAAGGGAGTCGACGTGATCGCCGGCGACGACGAGAAGGGCGTGTGCGCGGCGTGTGTCGAAGGAAAAATGGCTCGCAAGCCATTTGGGAGCCGAACGTCACCCCTCGCTAAGGACCCGCTTGCGCTTGTTCACATGGACGTGTGTGGACCGATGCGGCATGCATCAAAGGGAGGAGCGCGGTTCCTCTTGGTAATGCTCGACGATGCGACGCGGATGTGTTGGACCCGACTTTTGAAGGCTAAGGGAGATGCGGCCAAGGCGATTCAAGAGTGGGCGCTCGAAGTTTGCGACGACGACAAGAAGCGGATCAAGTGTATTCGCACCGATGGTGGTGGCGAATTCGTGAATGCGGAGCTCGAGAAATGGAGCGGCGGAGCGGCTTAATCGCACTTTGGTGGAAGCCGTTCGTTCTCTTCTTCAACACTCCAAGCTTGGGAGCGAGTGGTGGGGCGAGGCGAGTTCGCTAGCGGCGTGGATTCGCAACCGTTTGCCGACGAGGGTGCTCCCGGGAACGACTCCGTTCGAAGCATGGACCGGAACGAAGCCGAACCTATCCCGCCTTCGCACCTTTGGGTGCCTTTGCTACTACCATGTCCCGGATCCCCTTCGTCACAAGTTGCAACCGAAGGCTCGTGCGGCAATCTACTTGGGAATTGCGGCAAACGAGCGTGCGTGGCGAGTGTGGGACTTGGGTGAAAGGCGCGTCGTCACATCTCGAGACGTGGTCTTCGACGAAGACAAGTTTCCGTCGAAGGAACCACCAATGCCGCAACACACCGTCGTACTTCCCGCACGAGAGGAGGATGAGGCAGTGGAGGTTCCATCACAAGTGGACAATGAAGCCGAAAGTGGAGGGGGAGAGAACGAGGAGAGCGATGACGATGTCGTGGAGGTGCCACCAACCGAGGAGGCAACTCCCTCCGCACCTTCTTCCCTACCATTGGCGTTGACCCGTGGGCGTCGTACACCTCGCCCCAACACGAAGTTAGCCGACTACGCTACGGTAGCCGTTGGGGAGTTGGATGAGGAGCGTGCGGCATATTGCTTCGCAACCATGAGAGATGACCCTCGCACCCACGCGGAGGCTTTGGCTTCTCCGGATGCACCTCTATGGAAGCAAGCGATGGAGAAGGAGCTAGCATCGATCAAGGAGAACGATGTGTTCGAGCTCGTCGACCTCTCGAAGGGTGCCTACTTGGTGGGGTGCAAATGGGTGCTTACGAAGAAGTTGGGAGCCGATGGGAGTGTCGAACGCTACAAGGCGAGGCTTGTAGCTCAAGGATACACTCAACGGGAGGGGGAGCACTATAGCGAGACTTTCGCTCCCGTCGCTAAGGCTACAACTCTTCGGGTGTTGCTCGCGTTAGCGGCATCCCTCAATCTCGAGGTGGAGCAATTGGACGTTTGCACCGCCTTCCTCTACGGGCTTCTTATGGAAGAAGTCTACATGCGGCAACCCCCGGGGTACGATGACGGTAGCGGAAGGGTGTGGAAGCTCAAGCGTACCCTTTACGGCTTGAAGCAAAGTCCACGCGGATGGTACAAGCGCATCGACGACTTTCTTCTTCAACACGGCTTCGCGCGTAGCGAGTGCGATAGCGCTTTGTACGTGTTGAAGGAGGGGGAGAAGCAATTGGTGCTTTTACTCTACGTCGATGACTTACTCCTCTTCTCCGACTCCAAAGACCTCATTCGGGAGGTCAAGCAACGGCTAGGGGCGGAGTTTGCTATGAGGGACTTGGGGCCGGTCACGTACTACCTTGGGATGCACGTTGACCGTGACCGAGCCAACGGGACCATCCACCTCCACCAAGAGAAGTATGTGAAGGGGGTAGTGGAGAGCTTCGGCATGGGCAATAGCAAACCGGTGGGAACACCACGGAAGAGGAAGAATCCACCCTCGATGAAGCCGAAGGGAAGCGGTTTCATTCGCTAGTGGGCTCGCTCATGTATGCCGCCGTTTCTACTCGTCCCGACCTCGCATACGCCGCCGGGGTGCTTGGACGAGTCGTGAGCAACCCTCATACCGAGCATGTGCGCGCGGGAGGACGCGTTCTACGCTACCTCCAAGGCACACCTAACTTGGGGCTCGTGTATGAAGCCGGCCCGATTGAACTCAAGGGCTATGCCGACTCGGACTACGCGGGAGATCCGAGCACGCGCAAGAGTACCTCCGGGTATGTCTTCACCTTGCTTGGGGTGGCCGTGAGTTGGCAAAGCAAGAAGCAACCAACCGTGGCTCTAAGCTCAACGGAAGCGGAGTATATGGCACTCACTCAAGGTGCCATGGAGGCGATATGGCTACGACGTCTTCTAGCGGAGCTTGGGCATCCTCAAACGAACCCAACTCCTCTCTTTTGTGACAGCCAAGCCGCCATAAGCCTCTCTCACAACGCGGTCCTTCATGGGCGAACCAAGCATATCGAAGTGAAGCATCACTTCATTCGTGAGGCAGTTGAGAAGGGTGAGGTCAAACTCACTTACATAAGCACCAAAGCTCAACCCGTGGACTTCCTTACTAAACCACTCCCTAAGGATTCATTCCGTGCATGCTGTGAGCGTGTTGGATTGAGCACCTAGTGGCTTGGGTGCAAGGGGGAGTGTTGGAGGTTGCGTGGGGCTAGGTTTTGCCCCCAACCACCGAACGGTGCTACTTTTGCTTCTCACCTTCGAGTGAGCTGCAGGTTGGCGTGGGGCTGAAGATTGACTTCGGAAGACTCAACCAATTCGGTGCCACAAGGCAGCACCAGAAAGTTCGAGACTTGAAGGAACATTTGAATGAGTGAAATTCGAGTGTCGAATTTCACCACTTCGAAATGTTACGAGAACATTCGCGAAGTGTAGCGATGCGATGTTACGAACGCGGTTCGATGTTGATTGCATGATATAAAACTAGTTGCTTTGTATGCATGTTTCATAGTGAAACTCAGAGTTCTTTGTACAAGGTACATTCGAACACAAATTCCAGAGAGCTTCTTTACTTGCATTCAAGAGCACCACCTAGCACGTGAACGCCTATATCTCGGAGAATACTTAGGCGATCGACGTGTTTGACGGCTCGTTGGAAAGCTAAGACAGAGCCCTATCGTTTAGAACAACTCCCTGTTCCTGCAAAGTAGAGGAGAGTCCTCTACAACAGTCGCCCAAAGGCCATCATGACAGCGTGGCTCACGGAAATCTTATCACAAATATCCTGACAACGCAAGGTTCGAGCGTGCGTGATAGGCTGGTGCTGGTTCCATCGGATCACGATAAACGGGCGAGACGCAACCCTCGTGCCAGCGCGTGAGCGCACGACACGCCTACGTAACTGGGGGTAAGTGGTGATGTGTACACACGCATGCAGGGGGTGATGGAATTATTGTAGGTGAGGGCGTAAGGATAAGGCGCAAGCCACGCTCTGAAAGTGGTAGCGAACTGTGTTCCTGGGACCACAGTGCTCGTAAGCTCCCTATAAGAAGGGTCCTGGCGGAAACATTCAATGTACTCAAGAAGGCAAACGTAGGCATTGTTGAGCTTTGCTAACGATGGACTCCGCAAGGTCGCCTTACGACACGATGCGCCGAACTGGTAGGATGAACGCGGGACAACGAGCACTTGACCGGGACATGGTTTACTACGGCGCCGCCTCGCGTGCCAACAATGGACGTACCGGCCGCGCAGCAACGGCCGGCGATGACTCTGACGATGAAATGACCAACTCCGCGACCACGGGTTACGCGACGTGGGCGGCCAATCAGGAAGAAGACGAGGACGTTGGCGAGCCGTCAGAAGTTGCCCCAACCGAACTCGTCGATGAGGACGCGGAGGGTGCGTGTTTGAGTGGTTTCACGGTCCTAAACATGCACGCTGGACGTATTGACGTTGTTACTCACTTTTGCTAACAGTGCTGTTGTTTCATGTCGACAGCGGCGCGAGCGATGCAGCGCCCAGTCACGGAGCTGAGCCATGCTGCACCAGTGACTCCCGCCGTCACCGCGCCAGGCGGACGTGGCCCCACCGTGGCCGCGACTGGGGGCGTAAACGTCCCTGCTGCTGCGCCTGCACCAGCCCCAGCCATGAACGCGGCAATGGCTGCTCGCCTTCGCGCCCGCGAGCTTGAGATAGTCGAGCTCAACGCCCGTCTCCGCGAGGCACGCCGTACGGCCACCAACAACGTTGCGGAAGGGGATGCTGACACCCAAGGTCAGCGCAACACGGCGCCAGCCACCACCCGCCAGCGCAACAGGGCGCCAGCAACGACTCGCCAGCGCGAGAGCAACCCGACTGTCGACCAACGTGGCGCGGAGCCGCAGCATGAGCGCGTGCACACACCATTCGTGGCCCAGGCCCTCGCTAGGGAGATTGCGGTCGTGCGTGGCAGGCATGGCCCTCCTACCGAACAGCTGGTGATATCGGCGGACAATCTCGAAATCGCGAACAAGGTCATCCCTGGGCTCTTGAATGGCCTGAAGGTACCAATGACACTGATATTGTCCGTTGCACCAATTGTTTTTTGGGGGGTGTGGCCGTGGTTGTTTGCGAAGCCTTGACAGCCTGTTTCTCTTACTTACGCAATTTCAGGACGCAGTTGGGGAGGGGATTGTGCTGCTCGTGTACGCCACGCGTGTTGGGCGCATGTCATTCTGGCCGTCCCCGCTACTCATCGAGGCCACGATGGCTCGTGCTCTTCGGCTCCGCACAAGGGCACAGCGTCAACAGCTTCACCTAGTGTGGACCAACGACGCGTCTCGGTTGGGGTGGTTCATTCGCAAGATGCAGGTGTTTCGTAACACTCGCTGGGAGCAGGGAAGGGCGTATGTCTACGTACTCAACGGGTTGCCCTATGAACCCCCGGCCTTCTCTCGGGTGGCGGTGCCCGCGGACATGGCTGCTAACGGGGTCCCACAAGTCTCCCGCCAGGACTTCGTAGGCCGTCATTGCGCAGGTAGTAACTACTACGTGACGTACGCAGCTGCAAGCATCTAGCGTTTTTGGGTATCTGATGGTTGTATAGGATCCATCCCTAACCTCCGAGTGCTCTCTTGTTGCTCAACCCCAACTCCGCAGGGCCTGGCACGTTTCAGCTGCTCGCATGGCATGTTCACAACGGCCTACCCTTCGCTGCCGACTCATTTGAGAGGGGTATCTACAAGTCTTTCCGCCGCGCCAGCCCTCCCCCTTTCGTCCTGCGGACCTATGTCATAGCCTTCTGGCTTTACGGGGTGAGTAGTATCACGGTGGTGAGCTTGGCATTGTTGGGGTTTTAGGCGTTTCTTAAGTCATGCACGCTGACGAATGTATGGGAGGCGTATGCAGGTGGAGTATCCGCTGTTCAACGGCACACAGATGCCACGGTCGGCGCCGCGGAACGAGGAGGCGGTGCGCTGGTACCACGATCGCGTGGTCGAGTGGGCCCGTCGGAGCATTATGGCGAGCACTGCGGCTACTGGGCCGTGGTGGGACCCTAATGCCCGTGCATGGGCATTTCGCCAGGGCAGCTCTGTCATTATCTCCGAGGACGGGCTGGAGGACATTTCTCCGCTGGCTCCACCCCTTCACCCGTTTCCGGCCCCCGCGGACGCAGAGGATGGCGACAATGACGAGCCCGATACCTAGGAGGATGCGTGGCTTTGGACGTGGGTTGTGTTGCTAGGTGTTCGACTGGGGCTCGCGACATCCCGCACGTTGCGATGTTCCCTGGTTTCAATTGTACTCCACTGCTGCTGTCTGTTTTTGAGCTGCCGAGCTTGCTTCGTGTTGTTTCCGCAGCTGGTGCTTACGTGGTGAGATGGTAGCTTGTGTTTGTGCTGTGTTAGGCCTTGGTGATTTCAGTGCAATTTGTCTGTGTGTTCAAATCGTGCATCAAATCCACCACACGAACAAGGCGGGGGAAAGAAATGACTGACCTGAGAGGAACATCCCTGTACCCCTCCTGGAAACGCGGCTCGCGGGGTGGCAGTGCGAAACACAGCGCGGCATGCTACCGTGTTGTATGACCGCGCGCTCCGAATGTATATCCTAAGCATGACGATGCATTTTTGTTTGTAACAATGTTACCTGTGCGTTATACTTGTCGAGGTTATACTTGTAAAGCATGGCGCTTATTGGGAGGGTGCTGTTAGAGGGTGTTACCCTAAACGCAGGTAATCACCTTCGTTTACTGCATCGCGTTTGTTTCACAAATGGTTTTTTTTCATAGTTGTGTTGGCATCTAGACCCCGCGCTATACCGAACCGGTTAGTGGCAGATGCACCATTCGTGCCACGTGCGTGTTTTTACTGTATCGTGAATGAAGATTGCCCTGTGTGTGTTTCGGCAATCCTTGCCGAACGTGCGGGGGTATGTTTGTCCAATCATCATGAGCACTCCTACAACACTGCCTTGCCGAAATGGATTGCTGATGATAAACCTCGAGCATTGGTCCCAGGGACATAGCCGTAACATTGTTTTGTCAGTCATTGAGCAATGTTTTATGGCAAAATTCTTTGTGACGGAGATCGTAGTGGGAATTGCGCGCTAGTCGAAACCGCGAGAAAGCGGCGAATTTGCTGATTGCTCAGCGTTGGACTCTCGTGGAGGGATTCGCGATCGGGAAATGGCTTCAAGTTGAGCTGCGATGCCGCTACTGTCGGGGTGAGAGCGTATGACGATTCTGTTTCGACGCGCTCAGTTTGTTAGTCGCACTCGCGGCGAGCGTTTTCATATTGATCGAGGGGGATTTGGGGGCGGGTTTTTGACGGGTGGACGCGAACGAGTCTCGAGTCTCGACGCGCCACTGCCATTGGCGCTCGAGGTGGATCGATGATGGACGATGGATGATGGATAATGGGAGGTGCGTGGAAGGAGAGGAGATCTCTTCGAGGAAACATTCCTTCCCGTTGACTCGACGCGACGCGGATGTTTACTAGGGTTCATGCACACGGCCGTGCAGTGAGTGCCCTCAGCGGTAAGTCACGGCTCCAGTCTCGACTGGGTGCATGCATTGCGCTCCGATCATTAATCTTAGACGGTAACCTTGAGGTATCCCTTCCCAGGGTGACCTCTTAAAATTCTTCACCGATTTATTTTGGGGGGTCATGATGTCTCAGCTCAGCCGCTACAGTAACCGTTACAACCGATGCGGGGCGATGGATGGACGTGAGTGAGCGAGATCATCGCGCAAAAGGCGGGGGAGAAAAGGGGTGCAAATGCGGAGGGGGAAGGAGGGAGGCATGACGTGCGGCTCGCGGGAGTCGGGCATTCCCTCCGCATCGGCGGAGCACCGATCGGCGCAGCCGCAAATCAGCGGCGAAAATGAACCATCCGTTTCGCCCCCTCGCTGCTTGTTTTGGCCTCGAGGCCACGTCACCATGACATTAACGAGTCATGATGACAGCAACTCGCAACCACACATCAGCCCGACGACGAATAGGACGAATCATCGGAAAATCTCGGGCTACTGTTACCCTCTGTATTGGCCGTCTTGTACGATCTCAGGCGATGCGAGCAGTGTTTCAAGCGCCAGCGCTGCAAAGGACTGGTAACTGCTACTACTACCGCCTGGGTTACGCAGCAAGCCTATTCGAGTGTACCACTGGCAGTGAAAGAAACGCCCGAGGCTTCTAAGTGCTGAGTACGCTGCTTTCTAAACGCGGGAACTTAGATCCATTGCACCGCAAAGCTGGTCAACAGCTGCTTTCAGAGCAGTGCTTCGTGAGGGATAGACGAGAAGAGAAGTGAAGTGAAGACACGTGTACTGTAGTTCCGCATCTTTTTTAGGTTCTCCAATCCACCCTCTCCGAACATTCGGGACTGTTTCTGGTGAGAAAGTCATGGGGAGGGTGGGAGAGGAGTCTTGCTGGCGAACTGTACTGTAGTGCAGCTGAGTCAGTACACGTGTGACTGGTTTTTTGGCTGGTTCTGAACGTGACGACGCACATGTTCTCTTGAGAACCCTTCTTCCGGGCTTTATCGGAAGAGGATTCGAACGGCCATTTTCAGGTGCATGCCACTTAGCCGAGGCGCGCTATTCAAGTGCATGCCAGGTTGCGTACACTATTATCAGGTTAAACAATGTCTCTTGTAACTTCACACGATTTTCAAGATTCGATTCAAATTGGCACTAAAGGTCTGAAATAGATGCAATTTCGGGCTACGCAAATCGGAATCGGAATGGTTGGCTCTCGATGCTGCATTTTCTGACGTCACTCAGTGCAATGATTACATTTCTGCCCAATTTCTACGCGAATTTCTGCTTCGCACCAACACTTCTTGAACGAATCTAATGCTAGATCTGTTGTACTGTTTACGCAGATGACGGACGCTGCGCATGACAAATCAGCAAACCCTTCGTGAGTGTTTGTAAAATTTTCCTCTACCAAAATTAATGTTTTGCCGTACATGTATATTGAAACAAGTGGTATACCATGACGTTAATTACGGGTCATTAAATACACATATAACGTATGATATATCCTTAATAGCGGTAGGGTTAAACTCCCTCTAACACTCGGACATGTTTCTCGTGTTTCGGATTACCCTTTCCAAGTAACGCACGTCCCACTAGGGTTTGCTGATTTGACCCGCGAAGCGTCCGCCACCTGCGCCAATAGTACAAACGATTTAGCATTACAATTCGTTCAAAAAGAGTTGGTGCGAAGCAAAGATTTGCGCAGAAATTGGGCAGAAAGGCAATCATTGCACTGAGTGACGTCAGAAAATGCAGCATCGAGAGCCAACCATTCCGATTCCGATTTGCGTAGCCCGAAATTGAAGCTATTTCAGACCTTTAGTGCCAATTTGAATGGAATCTTGAAAAGCGTGTGCCGTTACGGGAGACATTGTTTCACCTGATAATAGTGTACGCAACTTGGCATGCACCTGAATAGCGTGCCTCGACTAAGTGGCATGCACCTGAAAATGGCCGGGATTCGAACGACACTGCTGTCCGCTTGCCTAGAAGAGAGCATCGACAGCTGCTGGATTATGGCGCCTGCGCCACAGCAGGGGCTCGTTCGTGTGGTGGTGAGGTGATGTGGTTGGATCGAGGAATGAGCAGGGGCCGTGAAGAATAGGTAAGGAAAGGCGAAGGAGATGCTTTGCCGAATTGGTTTGGGCCATCACACGTACGCTCTAGCTCCGATATGAATTCAAGGAGCTGTAGAAAACAAAATGCCCGTATTGTATAGGCATTGTAGACCTAACCGCATAGTATATATAATTGCTGAGAAGTCGCAAAATCACAAAAATGTTGAGTTACTCGGCTAGAAAGCTGCAAGTGACTCAATTCACTTAAATCAATGAAGCAAAAGGGGAAAAGGCAGGCCCTGAGAAGTAATGATTTTTACCCTGATTTCCCTGATTTTCAAGGTGTTTTGTGTACTGACCCTGATTTTTCTGCATTATATATATCGTAAAACCAAAATTTCAGTGTTAACACTAATTCTTCTGTTAGGCCCGACGGCCTAAGTCCGCTAAAGAATTAGCGGGGTCGACTAAGTCGAGGATGAAACGCGGCGGAAGACTTTGGCGAAAGAACTATTGGCGAAATAGGCGAAGAAGTTACTAAGTAATTGAAGAAGAGTTGAATGAGAATTGATTGATATTGGTGGATACAAGCAAGGATGATATAGCATGCAAGGTCGAATGTCGGAAAGTACTTCGTGGGACTAGAAAGTAGAAGCAAGAAAGGTAGAGTGCCACGTGGCACTAGGAAATCTAGGAAGATAAGGATAAGGGTGAGTTGGAAAGTACTGTTCGGAATGAACAGTAAATCCCCACTTAACACTTCAGAGTTTTGGGTCCAGGGTACACTTCTTGAACATGGCCCCTGGGAGTCTGGAACACCCTCAAGCACGCTCGCGACCGAAAGTCCTCCACTGGCCGCATCATCAGCTCCCCCGCTCGTACCTCACCCATTTTCGTCTCCCCCACTTTCGCCTCCCCCACTTTCGCCTCCCCCACTTTCGCCTCCCCCACTTTCGCCTCCCCCACTTTCACCTCCCCCACTTTTGCCTGCCCCGCTTGTGATCCCCCCTTGCACCTCCCCCGCTTGTGCCTCCCTTGTTTTTTTCACCTCTCCCGCTTTCGCCTGTCCCACTTTCACACCCCCCCACTTGCAAGTTGCGCACCTCTCCCACTTGCACCTCCCCCACTTGCACCTCCCCCACTTGCGCCTCCCTTGCTTGCACCTCCCCTGCTTGCACCTCCCCCACTTGCACCTCCCCTGCTTGCACCTCCCCCACTTGCACCTCCCTTGCTTCTGCTGCTGGGAATGCGAGCCCACGGTTGTTTTCCGAGGCTCGACCGAGGCTGCAGGCTTGGAATCCGAATCCGGAGCTGATTCCGAGGCTCAGAATCCGAGGCTGGCGTCAGCAGGTGCTGATTAAGAATAGTCGCCGACAGCTGTTGCGACAGTCACTGCTTCACTGGCTACATTCACTGAATTGACTGAGTTGACTCCATCAGCTGTGTAGACTGAGTTGACTGTGCTAGATGCGTCAAAGTCATTGACAGCATGATGGACTGCTTCGAGTGCGTTGACCTGGTTGACTTGGCTTGTTCGGTTGACTTGGTTGACCTGGTTGACCTGGTTGACTTGGCTTGTTCGGTTGAATGCGGGCGGGCGGAACGAGCTGCTCAGGAGCAACTTGGAACCACTGCTGCATCAGCCAGTGTCGCGATTTCCGTGCCGTGCCACCAAGTCAGCTTGACCTCACAGCCATTAACATTATCCTTGTTAATAGCGCGATTCGATAGAAGGATGATTTCGGGTTTGACGTCGCGGTGCACGATGGTGTGCGAGTGGCAGTGCTGCAAGGCCAGCATGAGCGATCGGAAGATGCGCGCTGCAGAAGGTTCCGAGAGCCTTCCGTGCGAGACAACGCGGTCAAACAGGTCTCCCCCCTCACAGAGCTCCATTGCCACGTGCACGTGCTGGAGGAGGGGGGGGGAAGAGGGGAGGAGGGGAGAGGGGTGGGGTGGGAAGAAGCAAGAGGGAAGAAAGCTGAGCCCCATCACCACATGCACGTGCTGGGGGGGGGGGGGGGGGGGGGGAGGGAGCAGTCGTAAAGGGGGAGGGGGAGATGGAGAGACGCAATGGATGAGAAAGCGAAGGAAGGGTGGGCGTGCTGGGAGTGTGCCAGCAACGTCGACAGGAATTAACAGAAGAGCAGTGGTAATGGGGGAGTGTAGTGGAAGCTATTCAGTAATGGCAACGGAAGGCTTGAATTAGTGGGCCAAGTATGAAGGATCAGATTTAGTTGCATAATGCAAGTCTCATGCACGCTGGCACACAGGCTTGAGCATCAGTTCAGAAGTCATTATTCATACATTCACAATGGGGTAGAAGGGAACGGACAAGGGTAACTTACCCTGTGTTTCCTTCTTTATCCGAAAGATGTCGATGTGGCCATTGAGTTCCTCTGTGACTGCCACGTCAGCAGCACTCTGCCCTGTTGGAAAGGCAAGAGGCACGAGGCAGGGCGGAAAGGGAAGGAAAGCACAGATGCTGAAGGTGAGGATGAGGCAGAGAGAATCAGGGTGGGAGATCAGGGTGGGGAGAGCAGGGTGGGAGAGCAGGGTGGGAGAGCAGGGTGGGAGATCAGGGTGGGGAGAGCAGGGTGGGGAGAGCAGGGTGGGAGAGCAGGGTGGGGAGAGCAGGGTGGGAGAGCAGGGTGGGAGAGCAGGGTGGGAGAGCAGGGTGGGAGAGCAGGGGGGCCCCATGGCAGGGACGGCCCTACCTGCATGGCGGCCTTCCGGATGCTCCTGCAGGCAGCGTGCATTCCGGTGGTGCTGACCCCAAGGCAGCGTGCCTCCGAGGCTCAGAATCCGAGGCTGGCGTCAGCAGGTGCTGATTCAGAATAGTCGCTGACAGCTGTTGCGACAGTCACGGCGTTGACTGCATTGACTGCGTTGACTGTGCTCAGTACGTCAAGGTCATTGACAGCATGTAATGCGTCGAATGCGTTGACTTGGTTGACTTGGCTTGTCCGGTTGACTTCAGGTAATGCGGGCGAAACGAGCTCATCAGGAGCATCGTCGAACCACTGCCTCATCAGCCGCTGCCGCTGCTTCCGGCCCAGCACCCTTGGAGCCGCCGTTTGAACCATTGACGCCGCTACCTCGTTGCACCAATCCTCAAGCGCCACGTTGGCTGCCGTGGTACCACTGGCGGCTCCGCCGTCACCAACTGCTGGGAAACGGCTGATAAACTCGCTGGGAAACGGATCTCCGCCGTTTGCGCTGACTTGCGCGGCAACAGACAGTTGGGTTTCGCTGGGGTCACCTCCAGCGAAAGGAGACGCGGAGACGGAAGGGTACTCGCAAGGGATGGCACCAACCCCTTCCGCGGAAGGGAAGGAGGAAGGGAAAGGGGGAAGGGAAGGCGGGAAACTCAAGAGTGAATTCTGCAGAAGGGAATGCGGAAGGGAAGGCCGGGAAGTCAAGAGTGGTCGCGGAACCGCAGCTCATAATCATGGCGACATCCGTGGCGGTGGTGACGCCGCAGTAAGCGCCGTCACAGCCGGCGGCAGCATAGAGCTGAATCTGAAACGTCCTTCTTGAATGCAGCGGCGGCGCGCCGGCGGCGGTACTGGGGTTTGCGCGAGCTCGCCGCGTCGCGGCGCTGGTCGGCGACGTGCGATGCGACGACATGTTTCCAGTTGTGGGCGCCATTTCAGTAGTTTGCAAAAGGGCGCGTTCGCTGGTAATACTAGCCGAAACGGGAGTGGCTGCCTGCTAAGCTTCACAGGGGAGATGGTTTTCAGTCAGAATCCTTGAAACGGGATTCGGGAATGGCTTGAGCTGCGACTGTTATCATGTATGGGGATGAATTCGTAACCACTCTGTATGTATGGCGTTCTGGAATCTGCACTCGCGGCGAGCGTTTTCATAGTCGAAAGCGGAGGCGGTAGGTGGATCAAGAGGACTTTGGAAGGGGGAATCTGCGCTCGCGGCGAGCGTTCAACGCGGAGAATTGATTGGCGGAGTAGGTCAGCAGCGAGTGTGACACGAGTTTGGCACCCCCCACGCTCTTGTCTCGGCCTGAGACCAAGGCACGACACGTCACCCCGACTTTGAGGAGTCATCCTGACAGCAACTCGAGTCACGCCTGACTACACGTCCTCTAGAAGTGTACGTGTCGCGAAGCGTGCACGCTGCTTTCGGCGAAAGTGCTACTGGGTGTGCATGCGCGTGTGAGAAATGCTGACTATGCTTCGCAAGGGCCAACGCGGATGAGGGGAAGAGAAGGAAAGCTCTCTTTTCTGATTGCAATCTCTTCTGCATTTCTAAGAATCATTTATCCACGCGCTCGGAATGGCATTTGCTGAGAAAGCCACGGGCAAACACGTGCCTAGCTGTTCCACGTGCTCTGTTTATGGTAACCACTTTTGTACCGTTGTGTCAGTCCGTGACTTTTTTTTCGGACGGTTCTGAATGTGCAACCCTGAGGAACTATCTTCTCTCGAGCACCCTTTGGGGCAGTGCGCCGGTACAGTCTGCAATGCTGCTTGCTTGCTTGCTCGAAAGGAGAGCAAATGAGCGCTGAGCTGACATGTTATTTGCTGGATGGGGGTGTCCGCACTGCTCTGCGCAGCACACAGCAGGGCTTGTTGTGTTGAGCAGGTTGTGTGTGGTTGGATCGAAAGTCGAGCTGTTTTCTTGTGGGGAAGGGCAGGGCGAAGAAGGTTGGTTTGACTAGGTTTGGTTCGTTTTGGTGTATTTTAATCAGGTTTGGTTTGGTTTGTACGAAGATCCGCCGTGTGCTCCAAGAGGGCGCGTGAAGTTGGCCTGGTTGGGTTGGGTTGGGGGGGGTAGTAGGGACATGATATCGCGACGCGAACAAGCGAGCGTGGCAGATTATGCAAAAAGAAGGGAGCATCCCGCAATAGATGCTGATGTGCCTACCACCAATTGGCCAGATAAGAGGAACCAAGCCTTTCCGAAAATTTTGGAATGAGCGGGAGAATGCTGTTCTCCACAGCCAGTCCTGTCAAAACCAGCCAGCGTGTCGTAGGTGTATTTGGTTGACCAATGACCACTCCACTCCAGAAAACAGCATTACAGTACAGTCGATGCTCAGCCTATCACAAAACATTTGCTCCTCACAATTAGAAATTTAGTCACTCGCGAACGTTTTGCCCGTGAGTGACTAAATTGACCATTGTGCAGGGTACAGTCACCAAGTTGAGGAAGAAAAACATCTACAGTTCATAAACAACAACGGTTGCCCGTCATCGGAGAAGTTAACCTGGCTACTAAATTAAAGCCATTGACTCGATTCACGTTGCAATTTCATATTACAGTCACATTTTTGCCCGTGGCGACAAGGGCGAACGTGGCGAAATGTCTTAAACTCGTTTCATGCACATGCCGCCCGCCTACCTGGTGTTCTTGAAATGGGCACCGACTGTACAGCACAGTTCAACTGTACAGAGAACAGTCCAGATTGATGTGTGATGTGACATGTCTTAAGAGTGCGCCTTGTCGTCTTGTAAGCATGCAGAGCTTCGATATGGCAGACTTATGTGAGAACATAAACGCAAGGGAAGGAAGTGCAACAAAAATTTGTGATCAAGGCTGCTAGAGATTAACATAATTCATATGTTTTCTAGTGAATGGTAGTGGACATGCAATATAATGCTCCTTGGAAAAATCGACTGGAGAACAATTGACATACCAAGATCAGTCCTTGGGTAAAAAACAGACTCCCAGCCCAATGTTTTTTTCAAGCTAAGCACTACCAAGAGAGCCTTAAAAGAGGGGGAGGTGGTTGAAAAAGAGGTGAATGGCTAGATTAGTGACATCAGGATTGAATTATCATGGAATAATATTCCGCACATACATGCGTTCTCTCACAGCAGAACCTAAGCATCAGGAGATAGTACGTGAGTCCAACTACTAAAACTGATTCGGGTCATGGGATGAAGAGAGAGCACACAAATGATGAGATGCTTGGCTAGTGACAACAGCTCCTGCCACCTCCGGCTGCAGCTGAACCCCTCCCTCTCCGCCTCCAGTACCGTCCGCAACATCATGTTATTGGCTGCTTCGCCCCCCTCCCCACTGCTGCTGCTTCTGCCACATTTTCTGCTGTCCTTTCTTCCTTTTCCAGCAGAGTCTGCTGCTGCTGCTGTTGAGTCGATTACGTGGGTAGGGGATCTGACCACAGCGCATTATAAAGAGAGTAATACCAGCGCTTCACACATCACACTCAGCACCATGCGCCCCTGAAAACACCTGCGATGTATTCCGCTGTACCCACGTGACAGCCTTCCAGATGCTCTTGCAGGCAGCGATCTCCCCGGTGCTGCAGTGCACGCATCTCCGAATCATGCCGTACTGCCCCCTGCTTATCTCCTTCTTGAATAGAAGCCACTGCTGCCGAATGTCCTCCACTCGCCACCTCAACACCTCCCCCATCTCCTCCTCCCCCACTTGCATATTCCTCTCTGCTGCTGGGATTGCAAGTTCACAGGTGTTTGATTCGGGAGGCTCATCCAAGGCTGCAGGCTCGGTAGTGGGGGGCTGACTTCGAGACAGCTGTTGCCGCATTGACTGCATTCGCCGCGAGCACTCACTACATTGGCTGCATACACCGCGAGCACTCACTGCATTGGCTGCATACACCGCGAGCACTCACTGCATTGGCTGCATTCACTCCATCATAAACTGCTTTCAATAGCGTTGACTTGGTTGACTTAACAGTTGGTTCGGATGAGTTCAGGGAATGAGCCCATCAGGAGCATCGTGGAACCACTGCCGCATCAGCCGCCGCCGCTGTTTCCGTCCCAGCACTGTTGGTGCCGCCGTTTCAACCACTGACGCCGCTGCTTCGTTCAACCAATCCTCAAGCGCCACGTCGATTGCGTTGAATTGCACGGATTCGGACGTCCACGGAATGCAGTCGGCGAAAGGAGGAGACATCGGGAAGTCGTGCGGCCACGCGGAGGCGGAAGGGTTGGCGAAAGGGGAGGCGGAGGTCTCTTCCGCGGAAGGGGAGGCGGGAAAGTCTAGAGTGGTCGTGGGGCTGCGGCAGCTCGTAACAGCGACGTCCGTAGCGGCGGCTGCGGCAGTGACATCCGAAGTACACGTGGTGACGCCGCAATAAGCGCCGTCATGGCCGGCGGCAGCGGGGCTGAGCTGAATTTCGAGGGTTCTGTTGGAATTCAGCGGCAGTGGCGCGCCGTCGCCGCGGCTGGGGCTCGCGCGAGATAGCCGCGTCGCGGCGCTGGTCGATGACGTGCGATGCGACGACGACATTATTTCAATGATGATGGAAAAGATCGTTGGTCGAAATTGCGCGCGATCGCTGTAGTCAAATCGGCGAGAAATGGCGAGAATCGGCAGGAAAAGGCGTGCTGATCGCGAATTGCTAGACCCTAAGGTGAGCTTCAGGGGGCTTGGATGGTTTCCAGTCAGAACGCCTTGAGGCGGGATTCGGGAAATGGCTTGAGCTGCAACTGCTATGGCTGGTCAATTTGAGTCTCTGTTTGTAGTCGCACTCGCGGCGAGCGTTTACATACTACTCGAGGTGGATGTGGCGATGGGTGGAATGGGGAATAGACGGGCGGATGGAGAATAGTGTCGTTGATGGATGGCGGGGACGAGTTTCGACACGGCGCTACTCGAATTGATGGAGCTGCAAGGAAGGAGAGATCACATTCCCCTCGATGCATAAAAGGGTTCATGAACTTGGACGGGCCCGTGCAATGAGTAACATCAGCGGTAAGGTATGTGTAACCAATGCGGGCTCGACTAAGTCCACGCCATGCGCTCTGATTACCATAGTGACTCAGCGCCGATGGTGACTCAGCGGCGGTACAGTTACTGGGGGGGAAGGATGAGATGAGTGAGACTGACGCCATGGATGGGCGTGAGAGGGAATTATCGCGCCAAAGGCGGTCGGAGAAATGGGAGGTGAAAAATGTCGGAGAGGGAAGGGGAGGCTGACACGCGGCTCGCGGGAGTCGGACTCCCCCCCCCCCCTTCCCCTCCACTGCAATCCCAGCCATCGGCGGAGCACCGATCGGCGGAGCACCGATCGGCGGAGAAAGATGAGCGGCGAAAGTAACCCATCCGTTTGGCACCCTCACCGCGCACTCTCCCGAAGCCTGAGGCCAAAGACACGCCAACCCTACTTTGACGAGTCATCGTGACAGCATATCGCGTAATCGCATCCGATCAGATTTGAACGAGGAATCGGACGAACTTGGACAGTCTAGGGCTACTGTAGCATGTTGCGTTGGCTGTCTGTAGTGGACATGCCAGGTGGACGAACAGTGCTCCAAGAGCCAGCGCTGCGAAGGAATGGTCGACGCGATACTATTACGCCGAGCAAGCCTTTTCCGAGCGTAGTACCAGTGGCAATAAGAACGCGCGTGGATGCTAAGTTCTGACACTATTAGTTCTCCTTAGTACTAAGCGCGGAACTTAGGGCCATTGCTGAGAAGGGCCGCTAGAAGTGTACGTACCGCAAAGCGTGGTGCCGAGAAGGGCCGCTAGAACTGCTGTCTGTAGGCTTCGTGAGGTCAACGCGGATGAGGGAGAGGAGAACTCTCTTCTGCATCTCCTAGAAACGGTAACAAGGGGGGAATAAGTGCCATATGTTCACTATTGTGTCAGTGCGGTTCTGTAGCGTTCATCGGTCCAGTCGTGACTAATTATTTGGACGGTTCTAAACGTGTATTTTGACTAGTAACTACAAATGCCCAACCCCTGCGCGCGAATTTGCCCTGCCCGCGATGGAAACTCTGCACCCGTGTATTAGGGTGCCAGAGTTGCACCCCATTTACAAGCACCTCGAGCAATACGAACCACAAAAACCGAAGTTTGACAGAAGAGACCAACGTCAAACTGTCAACAATGAGTTACAAAATCTTTTATAAGCCCTTTTTGCTAAGTGCGAACTGACGAAAACTTAGCGAAATGCAAGAATCGCTTAAGAGCCCTCTTTACAAGCCAACCTTGGGTTAGTCAAACAAGCATCTTGTGTATTTTCTCTTGGGCATTCGTGTTGCAAGTGCTATTCGAGAATCTAACGACGAACGCAACTCGTCTGTCTGCAATGCAATGCTACTGCTTGCTTGTTGGAAGGGGAGGGGAGGAGAGAGCAAATGGGAGCTGGGCTCTAGCGCCTGCTGGACAGGGGGGTCTCATTGCGCCGGAGAAAATTATGGTTGAGCGGGTTCCAGTAAGATCATGCCCTAATTTTCTCCAACCACATCGCCTGCTGCCCTATTTTTCTCCAGCCTCACTCATTTCTGCCCTCACTCGTTTCTGCTTGCATGTGATGTGGTTGGAGAAAATTAGGGCAGAAAGGAGTGAGGGCAGGGCGATGGAGATTATGGCGCGACAAATCGGCTTGAAGGGGGGGGAGTAAGGGGGGGCCGGGGGGCGGGGGGAATGAAGGAATCATGAAGCCAAGTCACGGCAAGCTGTTTCTCCGCTACAGTGCACATTATGCTCAAGTACAGTCTCGTGAATGAGACATTATCTACAATTTTCCCGGTTTTTAGTATTTACAGTATGTGTGTACAAAGAAACATAGCAGCAAACCAAGGTAATCACAAGACAGGGAAATGTAAAACTGACAGTGCAGGAGTGGTGTGATGTGCTGGGCTGAGAAAAATCCTTATAATCTTTTCGAGTTTAGTCCTTTGTAAAATGATTCAACGGAATATTGAATTATTGTGCTGGTTGAATATGATAATAGGAATTAATAATAATAAAAAAGTATAGATGTTCCGGGTTAAATGCCCTCGCTAAAATAGTCCCTTTTCCGATATCGCCTAGGTGTAGCCCGACCTCTACAGTCCATTTTTTGGCGGGAAATTTTGCAGCTTGACTAAATTATTGCACGAATTAGCTCCGCAGCCAATTGGAGGGCCCAGGGCAAACCAGCCCAACAGTTAGGGAAAATTATAAAGAAGGGGTCCTTGATTCGATATTTAACTCGGCGATTGTAATTAATTGCTTCTCTTGACCGTGCTTACTTCTCAATCCTGTTGCGTGGTCCCCAACGCGCTCGACGATGACAACTCATTTATCTCGCTTATAAGGTAAAACAAAAGTTATCTTCTATTCATGCCCCAAACCATTATTGATTTTGTTTTTTTCCCATTAGTCATGCGAAATTGATCAACGCGGAACCGTGTGACGAGAAGTTGAAGCAAACGCCGTTCGAATTGTGAAGAGATGAGGAATGAATGAACTAGAAAACAGGTGGGTACAAGTAGAAAAAACCTAAATGTGTTGTACCCCATATTGTCTACCCCACTACAGCCTACACAGACTATAGCATATAAGTTTGACACACCCCCATAGGCAAAGTGGGGGAAAACAAGAGGTCACAAGACCAGTCAAGCAAAGTAAAGCAAGCTCAGGGTGGATCACAACGTCACCACACATTCCGAGCACAAGTTCAAGGCCACAAGGCCAGTTCACATGTAAGATCATATATAAAGGTGAACAAGTAAGGGCAGATATAGAAAGATCACAGTACAAGCAAGGTCAAGAAGTCAGCAAGTGAGGCCAAGTAGGCACAAGACCTAGCATTGTACAGCAGCGCTGATGATCACAAGGCGGAAGTGCCTTGGTAAAGATATCAGCAGTGTTGGCCTCAGAGGCCACGTAAGCAAGGCGCAGCTAACCACGCTGCTGCAGCTCACGAGCAAGGAAGTAGCGAAGAGCAATGTGCTTCGTTCTGTGCTCCAGTCTGTGCTCCCGACACAAGGCCAGCATGGCCTTGTTGTCTACGTACAGAACTGGAGGAGAACGAGGCGGCTCTCCTAGGTCAGCCAGCAGGTAGGTGAGCCAGCGTAGCTCATGTGCAGCCATGGCCCCCGCGTAGATCTCAGCCTCACAGCTAGAGCCGAGAACAGAAGACGAGCGGGTAGACCGCCACGAAACAGAGCCGGAACCAAGGCTGAAGGTGTAACCCTGTGACGACCGCTGTGTAGGCTGGTCGTCAGCCCAAGAAGCGTCTGCGTGACCTGTGAGGACCACTGAACGCCGCCCTCCAAGCACTAGCCCCATGCCCGACGTACTGCACAAGTAGCGCAACACCCTCTTCGCTGCAGCCATGTGCTCTGGTCGGTGTCTCCCAGGAGCAACATAGCGTGCCAAGATGCTAAGAGGGTATGCAAGGTCAGGTCGAATGCAGGTCATCAGGTACATGAGGCAGCCAACAAGCTCTGGGTACGGGCCACTCGGCTCTACGGACTCATCCGAAGGCAGAGCTGAGAGCGAGTGGCGAGTAGACAGAGGAGTGGCCTGAGGCGAGGAGTACGTGAAGTCGAAGCGCTGAAGGACATGCTGCACCATGTGTGACTGAGTCAGGGTAATGGTGCGCTGTGCTCTGTCCCGGGTGATCTGCAGGCCAAGGTAGCTGCGCAATTCACCCAGGTCTATGCACGTGTGTCTCTTCTGCAGCTCCGACTTCACGTGGGCGAGTCCAGCAGTGTCAGCAGTGGCAAAGACCAAGTCGTCGACGTACACGAGGATGTAGAACGGCGGCAAAGAGGTGTCGGTGCGCAGAAACAGCGACGGGTCGG